ACACACACACACACACACACACACACACACAAACTCACCCCACAGGCGTCGACCCCGCCCACGTTGGGCTGCCCAGCACACAGCTGATTTGTCGGGTCTCTCAGGTAGTTGGCGCCGGACCCCGGGAACACGGTGCTGCAGTCCGTGCCTTGGAAGGTCGGGAGGGACACACTTTGCAGTCTCTGGCTCGCCTGTCTGCTGTTTTCTGTTGAATGGTGAAATGGTATTGGTTTAAGCCTCTGCCAACATTGTTAGGTTATTTAAGAGGCGGGACCTCCGAGTTTATATCTCCGGAGGGACCGAGCCAACTGGGATATTCCTGTAAAGTGCCTTTCCCAAGGACACAACGTCTGACCGAGCTGAGGCTCGAGCCCCCGAACCCACAATCTCACAATTACGAGTCCGGAAGCCTAACCTAACCACTAGGCTACCGACCCCACTGCTGTTTTCTGTGGGGGTCAGAGCCAGGAGAATGACGTCACGAGGGGCCTGTGTGGATTTACATATATCTGTATCTTGGTCTTTCTGTCGGGAAGATGTCTCTACAGCACTAATAGAGTACGGGCGTCTGTGGTGTAGCAGGGAGGTGCTTCGCTGTCTCACGCAAGAGACCCGAGTTCGATTCCTGAGTGGGGAGGAATTTTTTTAATCCAGTATGTTGGTCTTTATACATGTATTGGGATGTAGTATCCCTCTCACTCTCAGCCGAGTGGGCCCTGACAGGCAGGGTCGGAAGGCTGCCTCCTAAATGATCAAAATTGTGTCGATTGAGGCGTAAAAAACACTCATACTTGTACTGATAGCCAGGAGTATGTCACAACTACAAGTAAGTAGAGCATGTCACTTCTTTCTACTGGTAGAGCTAGGGGACTTAGTCAAAGTTTTACAGGACTGCAACACTATAATTGTTGTCTGCTGATCGTCAGTATCCTTGTGAGAATGTGCAGATTTATCATTCTTGCCTCGTGCACACCAAGATCGGGTTGTTGTGATTGAGTGGTATAACCTGTAGCATATTGTAGCATGTGCGTGATGGTTTTGATGATTCCTGCCTGCTTGTAGCACTTTGGAAAATAAGCATTGTTATTTACTACAGTGTGTTTTGTTTCAATAAACGTGTCTTTCGCAATTCGTTTTTACATCAGCATGGTTTAGTTTCATGTATAAAGTTAAATAAAGTACTGACCAAGGAGATAATCATGTGACCTTATGCAGTTGCGTGCGCCGTAAAACCTCTACTAAAACAGGAGATAGCATCACCGGATAGAGCCATGGAAGTGTCACTATCATTGGAAGTGCCAGGAGAATGTCACTCCCGAGAGCTAGGAAAATGTCACTCTCACAGGTAGACCCAGGAGCATGTCACTCCCTTTGGAAGAGCTAGAGCATGTCACTTCCATCGAAAGAGCAAGAACGACTATGCTACTCGCGGTGGTGGAGCTTGGAGAATGTCCTTTGCATTGACAGAGTCAAGAGAAGGCCACTATTTGGTACCTACTGGTAGGTCCAGGAAAATGTCATTACCACTACTTGCATTATTATTATATTATCATCTGATTAGACTTGACGGTGTAGCTTTTGTACATACAGATGTGTGTGTGTTTGTATGTGTGTTTGTATGTGTGTGTATGAGTTGTATGTATGTGTGTACGTGTATGTGTGTGTGTGTGGTTGTCTCTCTGTATGTGTCTACTCACCGTCCGGAGCTCCCGATCCCGCAGCAGTACATGTCTGAACAGACTTGACGGTTTAGCTTTGTCCATACAGATACGCGTGTGTGTGTGTGTGTGTGTGTGTGTGTGTGTGTGTGTGTGTGTGTGTGTGTTTGTCTGTCTGTACGTGTCTACTCACCGTCCGTAGCTCCCCATCCCGCAACAGTACATGTCTGACCAGACTTGACGGTGTAGCTTTTGTCCATACAGATGGGTGTGGCACAAGGCTTGCTCAGGTCTATGGGCTTGTCCAGTGTCACAACAGCCACGTCATTGGCTGGAGGAAAAAAATTGGGGACGGGGGGTATTTATCTATTTCTTTTTTTTCTTTTTTTCTTTCTTTCTTTCTTTCTTTCTTTTTTCGTTTATTTATTTAGAATAGAACCTGCCCATGACTACTACCTATTGTCGAGGAGAAAAGAAAACGGTTTCCTGATTTAGAGAGAGAGAAACACAGAGCAGAGAGAAATGGGGAAGACAGAGGGGGGGGGAGGAAAAGAGTGAGAGAGAGAGAGTGAGAGAGAGAGAGTGAGAGAGAGAGA